TCTGATAGGACCACCTAAACCCTCATATTCATTCACCTACACTCGCACCTTCTAATCAGAAATTATGAAGATATATTGGCCGCGATAGACGACCCAAGATCTTGTAATAGCGTGAAAGGTTTATTGAAGTAATTCCAACTTAGGAAACTTTTTTCAACGATTCAAATAGAATCACAATTGGAATCGAATCTTGAAAATCCTGTATGGAGCTCTAGTCGTTAGAAATAATAGTCTCGAAAATCGAATCAACTTGTAACAAGTCATGATCACTACAAGCGAAAGTAGAAAATAGCAATAGTCAATACAGAATGTAAAGCTAATTATTTTTTCATTTATAAATAGATTGATAGTAGCGCTTCATACTGAATTGGTCATTCTAACAACAACATAAAACAAAGAACAAAGACATATCGATCAGTTAAATAAAATAGCAAAATCTTTATTATATTTAAATAAATAAAGTAATGGCATTAACAATGAGAATGGGAGAACCAACTCCACGACGGTAAAAATGTATTGTTTGCTTCTGTCTTTATATCAGGTTTTTCTCTTTCGTATAAGTTAGATCTTTAGCTGCACCACGACGTACAACAAAACTTTTTACATTTGATGATAATAATGAAAAAGAAAATTCTCTTAATGAAAGTCTTACAGGACGACGACAATCACGTTTATTTAATAATTCAATTAATACTGAAAATATTAATGATGAACCAATTCAAACACCAACACAATTAGTTGATTTATATCAAAAAACACTTGAATTAGCAGCACAAGGAAAAATTAATATTAAAAATGCATTTAGTATTCCACTTGTTGAACGTTTACCACAAGTTTTAAATGTTATTGCACTTGATGATAAAGATAATCATCATTTAGGACCAAATTTTGTTAAAGCTGGTTCAGTTATTGATACTAGGTTTGGTATATTGTGTTCTAATCGAAATAGAATTTTTCGGTTGATTTTCTTTATTATAAAGTTGAAAATAAGTTTTTTTGATCATGCCTTGTATTTACCTATGCATCATCTACTATTCAGAATAAGTGCTTTAGAATTTTGAGTCGATGTTGTACTGATTGGCAAATAGTTAACCATAGTATAGTTACGAGAATTTGGTTGAATGATCATATTGAAATAAGTTTAGAACTGTGCCATGTTGACAGAAGGTGTATTATCCCTTGTATAGATAGTATCTACTCTGAACAGAATGCATTATAAATAGCACTAGGATGATAACATGAAATATCTCCATGTTGATTCAATCAAATAAGCTGATGTTTTTTCGATTATTGATAGAAGTTTTTTTTCATAGAGTTTTTCATTTATACGAATAAACTAAAAAAAATACTACAATTAAGTTTTATTGTTGGTATCATAAAAGCAATTTCTAACTGTTATCAAGTACGAAAAAAAATACATGTGCAGCATTTCATAGATAATTTTCAATGATCATCTAAGAGAATAAAAACGAATTATATAGATGTTTATCAAGCTAATTTTCAGAACTAGTTATTTTAAAAGTCAACGGTTATTTCTTATTCAGTCTATGACATCTAGAAACTAATGAGCAATAAATTCAACTTTCGGGCGTAAAAATCACTAAATTTTTATCGTTTATTCAAAATTTTTCTCATGATTTTTTGTAGTGCTAAAATCTATGGTTTTCGTGTTGATGCATTATATACAGAAACACAAAAATTAAGTGGAAATATTCTAAATACAGAAGAAGAAGAAGAACAACAACAACATTCAAATGATGGAGAAAATAAAGAAGAAAATCGACTAGAAGTTGATAATGAAAATATTGATTCTGAACAAAATGAATCAAAAAAACCAACACGTCGTATTAAAACAAAAGCAACATCATTTGTTGTTAATGATCTATCAAAAATAACACTTGAACATGAATTTGAATTTCGTCCATTACAACCACCAAATATCTGTCAATGGCGTGGTGGAATTGGAAAAGATTCAATATATGCTGAAATGGTTTCAAGTACAATGTATTCATCAAGTGATTATCCATTAATTGATGGTTTTACAAATGCAAATAGTCAACCAGAAGAACAACAAATTAAAATTGAAAATATTCTTAATCATACAATAGCAAAAATAATTGATTTAACATCATTACGTGATGTTATTAAAAATAATGAAACATATGATCATATTCTTGGTTAAGAACATATATATATGTATATAAATATTGTTTTTTTAATTTTTGTTGTTCTTCTTTGTTTAGGTAATCAAGCATTACGTGATTTTTCATTTAATGAAATTCCAAGTGATTCATTTATAAATACAATTCATGAAAGTTGTCTTGGACAAAATGATGAAAGTATTGATAATAGATCTTATACAAATAATGATGAAAATGATAATGATGATGGTTATAATCATGATGAATTAATTCATGCTGCTATTGAAGATTTTAATGATGATCCATCACATACAAATGAAATTTTTAAAAATGCATTAAATGAATTAAGTAATCAAGATCCATCAAGTATGCATTCAAATTTAGGAAATTATCAATCACAACATTCAGCAAATGTAAGTTAATAATAAATAGAAGAAAAAATTATTTAGTAGTAAGCATTTTACATCATTCATATAGAAATTAAAATCGATGAGTAGAAGCCAGTTAATCAACATTACAATATATCTAAACACAAGAAGAAGAAAAAGAAAAATAGTCCTATTGTTTTTTGCTGAATCTATCGTTAAAATGAAAAATTTCCCTTTCTATTAAAATAAAGAGAAATTCATATTTACTTTTTCACCTATACATTCAAAATACATTGTATAGTTAAATAACGACAAATAGTTTTCTACTATTTTCTCAAGTTGTGTTGTTGCACACCGATAGATTCTGTATTTCTGGAATGTTAAATCTCCGTTTGATTACAAAATCATTGCAGAGGATCATTACATGACTATGGTCTGACTTTTTATATTCATCAAACATATCATTTTCTTATAAGAGTAATATTTTAACGACTCATTGAAAAAATTTTATTTTAGTTAAATCTTCCATCCGCTAATGAAATTTTATCGTCATCATTTATGAGTACAGTATCATTTGCAGATCAAATGCCAAATTTATTACATTCAAAAGATGTTCAATCTGAATATTCATATTTTGATGCAACTAAACTTAAACTTTTTGCTGGACCTAATATATGGAAATATACAAATTTACTTAATATAACTAAAATAATACCAACTAATAATAGTTCAATTATTCAACAACAACAAGCACCAGCAATACGTCAAAGAATAAATAATGAAGGAGGAAATATTTGTATAATTGGTCCAAAACGTAGTATTCGTGTTGATTTTTTTAATCAATTATCTATTGATCAAATAATGTCAAATATTAATAATGGACGTGATAAAAAAACTATTGGTATATCTCAAAGTGCACTTTTATTACGTATAAGAGAAAAAAGTTTTAATCAAACGCAATTAGCTAGAAAATTACGTCCATTAAATGATTTAATTAATTCACCTAATTTTCCAGAATTAAATTTTGAATATTTACATTTAATTAATCGATATAAAGAAAAAAAACAAGAACAAATTCATGAAAATCATGATTATGATGATTTTGATGATAATAATTTTCATGTTACTATTGAACATCATGATGATGAAGGTAAGATTAATATTCATATGTTTAAATTATGAATTTGATTTGAATCTATACGCAATTTGTTAAAACTCTTCAGTTCATTTTTTTTGCTTTACTAGTTGCATAGATGTAGGAAATTCAAATGAAATTAGGTCAGTTGAGACTGACCTAATTTTTTAAAGGTAGCCTATTGAGGAAGCACACTTTATACTATATCCTATTCAACTCATCAATTTTTGTATAGTTTTTGTTCCTTACTCAATATATGAAAAGAAAGATCGTTACTACGTAAGAGTAAAAAATCTTGACTATTTTACTACTACGAATTTACCATTGACTCTAAAAAAACAAGTTTCTTAATAACTTCGACTATTTCTATGTTAATGAATTCGTAAAAAATACAAAAAGAGAATTCATTAGTGATAAATCGTTAAATAATTCTCTGACGAATGTATCGACACTGATAAACGCAAACAAAATCTTAGATTGTATTTACCTTCAGAATATACCTATTATATTCTAAGAGTAGATTACACGATGGATCGAGACAGACTCACCTCAAGTCAGAGTTGTTCGATATAGGCTCTGTAAAAGTCTAACATCGAAGAGTCTAATACAGATCTCGAAAATATTTTTAAAAATTACGAATAGAACACTTCTTTGCTTCAGTATGTTTTCTGTTGAGAATATTAATTTTTATTTTCTAGATGCTCCATTAACAGCAATGCAATATGATTTTATTCGTCCTGTACATTATGAAAAAATTGAATTTGCTAAAGGTTCAACATCAGTCAATGCTAAAAATTTAAAACGTCAAATGATTGAAGAATTTACACGACAAAAATTAGAACAACAACGTACATTATCACTTGATACAAGTACAACAAGTCAACAATCATCATCATCATCATCATCACATAATAATAATCATTATCAACAACCAATTGTTGAATTTTCAATATTATGTGAAAATTTATCTGATCATGGTCATTTATCATTACAAACAGATTTAGCATCAGCATTTTATTGTATGTTAATTAATTGTAATGAAAATAAATTATATATGAAAAGTAATTCAAAACGTGATGATTTATATATACAAGAATGTCCATTTACAGATCGACGTGATCTTTCAACACTTTCTTATTCATATACAAGTAGTTCAAATCTATCAACAACTTCACTTATTGTTCATTGAAACAAATTCTTTTTTTTGTGTATGTACTTATGTACTTATTATTATTATTATTTTCTTTTTTTTGGTGACTTTAATAATAAAAGTGTATTTTATTTAAAAAAAAAAGAAGGAACGAGAAGAGTTTCTGTACAAAGAGCAAGAGAGAGCAACACAGCACACAAATATTTTTAAAGATATTTTATAATTATTAATAAAGTAAATAAGATGAATACAGTGGATTGATAAGGAACAATTATGTTTGCATGATTAAACATATTATTGATTGTTTGACCGTAAGATAATAATGAACGACCAATTAAATAAACAGCAAAACTTGGAGGATATATATTGAATGATTGAACCATAGCATTAACAGATTGATCACTACAACATGTTACCATAAAATCTTGAGATAAAAAGAAAAAAAAGAAAGATATGTTTTGTTTTTTGACATAAACTAAATCAAAATTCAATGAACTTACTTTGATAATTCATAGCTTCATTACCACCTAGCAAAAAAAAAGACATAGAAATTAATACTTAAGTTTCATTTATAAATAGATTTATGATCTGTAGATCTGACGAGAAAAGTTCTCTAATCGGTTAATCACTTTTGAATTGAAACTATGTACACTATATAAATTCAAATGTATTATGAATATCATCAAAAGAGTCATTGCCCTTAATTTATTATTAAGAAAATATTACACTTTTTACAGTAATTTTTAAATGAATGCCGTAGCTCACAAGTATTCATTTTCGAATTCCGACTTGAAGCTTTGCTTCTCTCCTGAAATAGGAACATCAAGTATAACGGTTTATATGAACAATGTAAAAGTAACACTATTGAGAAAATTTCACGAAGCGAAACAATCCTTTCTCGAGAAGTTTTCGTTGTTATTTAGTATTTTTACTAAAGCTAATTCTCGGAAAATTCGCATTGTGATTATTCTTCGTATGCTAAATTCTTTCAATGATAATTTCATACAAAAAAAGTTTGTTTTACATTTTTCTCAAAATCAATTTTAGGATAATCATTGAATATTATGCGAATATTTGTAAACGTAAACTTTTATCTAATGCATTTTTTAAAAAAGCTTGTGAAATAATCATCATTAGTGATGAACAAACCGGTTTTATTTATTGGAGTTTTTCCTATTATAAATTCATACTTCTTAATAAATTCTTCAATATATTTTATATATACCTGCTAATTGATTACCAGGTAATGGTTGAACTGTAATACGTTCACCTGTCATAGCCGTACATGATTGTGGTCCAGCAGCATAAGTTGAACCACTATAAAATCCACCTGTACCTGTATAATAACTTGGATCAATACCAGATGATCCCGTCATTGGTACAACATTTAATTGTGGATTATAAAAAGCACCAAATGTACTATTCCAAGTAGCATCAGACATTGGTTTTCCAATAGGAACACCAAAATTGTCATAATGAAAACCATTAGCACCCGTATTACTTCCATTACTAAATGGATAATATTCAGAATTTGGATTAGCATAACCAGTCATAACATATGATGGATTATATAATTGATTATAAGAACCAAATGGTGATGGAGCAGCTGGATATCCACCAAAAACTTGTTCTTGTGGTTGAAAGTAACCTGGACCGAGATCGGGTGCTTTCACAGGTGGTCCACCTATTGTCATCGTTCCATTTCTCCATACATCAGCCCAATCTTGTCGTTTTCGACGAGTTCGTCGTTGTTGTTGTTGTTGTTGTTGTTGCTGTTGTCGCTGTTGTTGTTGAGCTCGTGGCATTTGACTACGACTATAATAACCCCCTGAACGACGTAATATATTAGCCATAGGATCCAAAAGAACATCAGCACATACATGACGAAGAACAAACTAAAAATGTAAGATAAATAAAAGTTTTACAATTTAAAATTGTATTTTTTTAAAATTACTTGTCTTATTTGATTTGTATTTGTTGATACACCAATTGATTGTAGAGCAGTATTTGTTGGGATAAATAGTGTATAAGGACGTCCTGATTGTTTTAATTGATCAATAACACCTGTTTGTTGAAGTAATTGAGTAAATGAACTAAATTTAATGAATACAATTTATATGAAAAATAAAATAAATTAGATAATTTTTTACCTAGCTCCTTGCATTGTTGAAAGAACTGTATCTAATGGAATAGCTGTACCAGATAGAATACCTTCAATGAAAAGTGTTTAATTTTCCAAGAAAAAATTTTAAAGAATTGTATACCTCGAATAACATGCATAACACCATTTTTAATTGGTATATTCGATTCAGTATTAAGAACCGTAGCTGCGAATGGTAATGAATTTTCTGGTCGACCAATCAGTGTTACCACTTAAATATTAAATACAATGTACTGTAAAATTCGGAAATTTATAAACCAAAGCAGAGCAAAGTATCTTTAGAATATAAAATCTAATATCCCGATCAAATGCTTCCTTGCTGATAACAAAGAAGCGATCGAAAGCTTCTAATGTCTGTTTCAAGAAAAAAAAAGATGAGTGAGTCTTTTTTTTTCAATAACTTTTGATAGAAACAAAGTAGAGAACTGCGAGTTTTACGTTGAAAAAGATGCATTGTATTGATTATTATAAGTTTTCGATCGACCTTTTTGAAAAGTAACGTACTTTGTGAAGTGATTATAATGAGCTTTTAATTACTCGATGTGCATTCGAACTGCCGATAAAAGATTTATAATACTATACAAATCGTGGTTTTTCACATTGAATCGTTGAGAAGCTGTAAGTATCTATTCAACACTTTCAACCGATTGTTGTGAAAAAAATCGCATGTTTATCTTAGGAAGAACTAAAATATATAATTTAATTCTACTTCATTTTTTGCTGTATGATGTTTCTATCAAAAGTTACTTTAAAACTATCCATCTACCACTTTTTTTAATGAGCATTAGAAATTCAAAACACTTTCGAAAATTTTCTATTCATGTCAGAAATATCGAACTATACATTGTCGGCTTGCTATCGCATATAAGTGAACGATGTGAATAAATACAAAAGAATTAGAAATTTCAATGTTTCAGCATAAGTCTTCAATTACGAAGGATAGTCTAATGAATATCTGCGAACAATTAAAATGTTAAAATTCACTTTTAATTGAAACATATCATTTTATTCTAATATGGTTTTTACCCTATTCTGAAAAATAAATTAGTAAAAGAACATCTCAGATTTCTTGGGACAGGATTATTCCATTAACTCCTTTCCTACCTGTAAATACTCAATAAAAAAAGCAATGAACAAATTATCATGTTTCTCAAGCACTGCCGTTATTGGGAAAGGTTAAATTTGGCAGATAGCTTTTTGGTAACTACTTGAAATTTTCGCAGATATAACGCAAACAGGAGGAAGGCTTTGACATTTGTAAAGTCTCTCTCATCTAGAGCCATGCAACTTATAAATCTTATATGTACCATTTCCATTCGGTCCAGAAGAAATTTGTGCTTGAATAGAAAATTGTGGATCCATAGTAGGATAAATTTGTCCATCTTGAAAAATAGCTGAAGTTGGATATATTGGCATTGGATTAAAACTAGGATTAAGATTTGGATCAAATTGTTGTTGATTCGGTAAAAATTGTTGAGTGGGCAACATTTGTTGCTGCTGTGTTGGTAGCAACGGTTGATTAGGTAACATTTGCTGTTGCTGTGTTGGTAGCAACGGTTGATTAGGTAGCATTTGCTGTTGTTGTGTTGGAAAAAATGGTTGAGAAGGCAACATTTGTTGTTCTGGATTTGGTAAAAATGGCTGATTGGGAAACATTTGCGGGTCAGGTAACATTTGTTGTTTGGATGATACTTGTTGTTGTTGTTGTTGTTGTTTTTGCGTTGGTAGCAATTGTTGAGTAGGTGACATTTGTTGTTGTTGAGAAGGTAACATTTGTTGTTGTTGCCTAGGTAAATTTTGTTGTTGTTGTTGCATAGGATAACTCTGTTGTTGTTGAGAAGGTAATATTTGTTGTTGCTGAGAAGGTAACATTTGTTGTTGTTGAGAAGGTAATATTTGTTGTTGTTGAGAAGGTAACATTTGTTGTTGTTGCCTAGGTAAATTTTGTTGTTGTTGTTGCATAGGATAACTTTGTTGTTGTTGAGAAGGTAACATTTGTTGTTGTTGAGAAGGTAACATTTGTTGTTGTTGAGAAGGTAACATTTGTTGTTGTCTAGGTAAATTTTGTTGTTGTTGTTGCATAGGATAACCTTGCTGTTGTTGAGTAGGTAACATTTGTTGTTGAATAGGTAGATTTGGTTGTTGTTGTTGTTGTTGTCCAGGAAATGTTTGTTGTTGTTGAATAGGTAAGTTTTGTTGCTGCTGTTGCCTAGAAAAAGTTGGTTGCTGTTGTTGTTGTTGAATAGGTAAATTTTGTTGTTGTTGTTGAATAGGATAAATTTGTTGTTGTTGAGCAGGTACCATTTGTTGTTGAATAGGTAGGTTTTGTTGTTGTTGCATAGGAAAAATTTGTTGTTGTGTAGGTGACATAGATTGAGAAGGTCGAATTTGTTGTTGTTGTTGAAAATTTATATTTGTTGGCATATTTACTTGTCGACGTCGACGGCGATGACGTTGTGGTAATTTTTTGTTTGAACTAGAAGAAGGAGAGCGTTGAAATTGTGGTGGTAAAAATCCTGGTTGAATAAATGGTTGTTGTTGTTGAACAAATGGATTTGACATAGTCGTTAATTGATCGGTATAAACAGGAAAACGTATAATATGTCGACGTAAATTCTAAATAAATCAAAACAAAAACATTTTTTTTATAGTATTTTTTTTCTTTTTAATTTACTAACCATACTAAGATCTTGAGAATTTCCCAATTGTTGTACAGCTATTTGTTGTGGTATAAGTACAGTTATTGTAAGTAAATTTTGCGGATTAAGCATATTTGGACCTGTATTACCTAGGCCAGCTGTATTACCTTGTAATAAATTAACTAATTCTGTATCGCCCGATTGTTGAATAAGAGCCATAAAATATCTAGAAATAATTTAAATATTTCTTTTTTTTTTGTTTTCTCGTATTTTAGTTTATCTTACTGGTAACTTCGTGCAAGTTCATCAGCAGCTGATCGAGCTATACCACTAAGAAATGTTGAAATTGGATAAACAACACCATTACCATAGATTCTAATATCTTCTGTACGTGAAGCTAATATACGTGCAACTTGTCGATTTGAAATAACATCAACTAAAAAGATTTATAATTAATTAATTTTAGAAAAATAAAAAATAAAAATATTTTACCTTGAAATGTTTGATCTGTTTGTATAATTTTACGAAATGTTACCCATTTACCACGAATTAATGTACTAAATTGTTTACTTGCATCCATTACAGTTGGATAAAGTACTATGGGTATAATATGTGATTTAATAAACTAATTAATAAGAATGTTTTTTTTCTTTTTTTAGTATAAAATATAGAAAATTTTTTGAAAAAAAAACTCTTACATCATTAACATCATTTGTATTATTTATAATAGATTGTTCGAATAGAAATTGTGCATTTGCACCTAAATTAGCAAATGCTTGATCATTTGGTAAAAACCATGTTTGATGATGAGGTGAACGTAATTCAGATCGAAAATAATCACTACGATCAGCTAATAATCGTAGACGTCTTAAGAAATAATTTATTTTTATATTATTATTATTATTATTAAATAAAAATTAATCTTACGAAAATTGACTATCTTCAAGAGCATCATAAGCAGTTTTATATTGTATTTGATCACGTCTTTCAGGTGGCCATAATATATTATCAATAACATTTATTATACCACGACTCATTAAACGTGATTGTAATATAAATGCATTATTAATTGTAGGACGCTAAAAAAAAACTATATTGATTCAAAGATTTTCTTTACATTTCATATGAAAAAAAACTGCTAATATAATTCCTGTAGGATTAAAACATGAAACACGATATAAATATTATACACACTCTCAACGAGAGATTTACTAAGATATTTGTCATAGTCTGTGAGAAGTAGTTAATAGGACCCTGTAGATTTCAGTCCGCCATACAAAAAACATTGATCCAAATCTACCAGAAAACGATAAGTCTTCATATTGATGCATAGAAAATATTCTTCCTTGATCTCGTTTCAATATTACATAAAACTGAAGCTTTTGGTGTTACTATTGGTTTACCAATTAACTATTCAATTTATTTTGTTTTTTTTTGTTAACAGAATGTTCTCTTCAGCTGTTTCCGTCCGATTTCATTGATTCTTTTTGTTTAAGAACACTATAATATTCTAGACTTTTATCATTCTTCAATTGTTCATGTACACAAAGTGTGTCAGATATTGATGGGAAAAAGAGAGAAAGCGTTCAAATTTCTATTCTGTATACTTCAATATTCTTTTTTTAGATCGTGTCTTACAGAATTAAGATAAAACTTCTACATTCAGAAAAAGAGCAGTCTAACTCATAGGTTTCGACTAGTTGGAAATACTTTCTAACCGGTCAAAAATGAACAAGCATCCAGTATTAAAACTTTTTGATCACTCGTTACTTATACAAGTAGTCGAAAAGTATTAATGTACATAAAACTCCGATTTCTCAAATTAATCTCATTGATAAAAAGCATAAATTTTAGTCTTTTTGTTTTTTTTTTGTATTCAAAAAAACCCCTTACTTGTATGCCCATACCACCAGAACCCACAGGCATAAATCCTGGTTGTTGTTGTATATTAGGATTAAAATTTGCTGGTGGTGGATTAATATTTTGAAGAAATTGTGTATTCACATTTGGATTAAATACATTAGTATAATAATTTGTTAGATTTTGTGGAAATAAATTTGGATTACTCGATGATAAACTACCTAGCAAGAAAAAGAAAACAAACAAATATAAAAGAAATAAAGATTTCTATTTAAAATTGAAATAACCTTGTGCAACAACATATGTTTGTGTAGGTTGATTTGGATTGTAATTATTCATATTCACTTAAAAACAAAAAAAAATAAGAAAATGATTTTTTTTTCGAAATTCAAATTTAAATTTATTAATACCAAGATATGGATTAAGTGGAGCAACATTATCAAATGTTTTTGTTGTATTTGGTGTTCGTGGTAACCAAGGTATACCAGCTGAATTATAGCCAGTATTATCAGGATTTACATTTATGTATGGACCTATTCCACCATAAAAACCAACACCATAGAATACCTAAAATAATATATAATATAAAAATTCTATTTTGATATATATATAAAATGGAGACCAAGTTTAAGCCAGATTTCTTTTTTTCTCATTAGTGTCGATTTAAGTTACACTGTATATGACAAGCTCAACTATGGAGAGCACTTATGTCACTAAACTCAATTGTCGGTATACTTCAAGAGATACAGCATGTTGAAAATAGTTCAATCAAAACAAACGGAAGTGTTATCTTAGTAGAAGGTTGGATCGTAAAAATAGCGGCTAGATTTCGTTCACTAGAACAAACAACTCTGTTTGATAAACAGTACTACTTTTCAATGTTTTGAAATTTAATAATATATTTTCGAAATTTCTTCTGTTCTTTCATAAAGGTAAAATCGATTAAATATTATAATAAAAGATTTCTAAGTATTAGTTCTGCTAGACAAATAACAATTTCTATCATAAAGATTGAACCGATTGACTATTAAATTTCTTTTTTTTTTTTTCATACTTGAAATGGTAATGCCATAGTTGGTAAATTATTTTGTGGTCGAACATTGTTTATTTGACTTGGATGAATTTGATTAAATTTTTCTTGTGCCATATTAAATATTGTTTGATCATCATAACGACCAGGTACAATATGATATTTCCATAATAAATTTGGATCTTCATTTCTTCGATTAATACGTGTCATTGCATCATTATTAGGAGCAAATATAGTAAAATCACCAATAGTACTTGGTTGTTGAGATGGATAAATATCTTGTAATAATCCTTGTAAATCTTGTTGACGAATTAATTGTTGATAAAACTAAATTAGTTTATTTTAATTTATATATTTGAATAGAAATAAGACAAAAAGAATAGAATATTTTTGGTAAAAACTTACTAAACTTAAATCAGGCATAGCTGATATATCTTCAATAGGACCAGCATAACAAACAATAATAATTAAAAATAAGAAATACAAATATATGAGATTCATAGTTTTTACAGATCAACTTCAATGTGTAATCTAAATAATACAAAACATATGTATGTTGATATTGTATTATTAATCTTTCTATTCTCGTTTACTAGGTCTTATTTTCTTTCTTTATATTTCTTTGCTTTCAAATCATCAACAGGAAGGAATAAATAGATATAGATATATATACATATGTATATATAGAACAAATTCTGTAATATAGGGCAGAATAGAATAGATTTCATTATACGAGACAGACAGAAAGAAAAAAAAATTATATATACAAAGCAGACATACAATTGATGGTCAACGATTGTCGCAAGGGAGTTGACCGTATGATGATGGTGAACTCTATTGTACAACCTTTTTTTTTTTTTTTGTTCTACATTGACATAAAAGTTCAAATCGAACAATAAATGTATAGAAGACTGTTGTTGTCTGAACGTGAATAATGATTATATTCTTTTCTCATCAATAATTTGATATGTTGAAATGTACTATTATACACAAAAGCAAAATCATTTTTTGTTTGCTTTTTATTCTTAAGGTTGCAAGGTGAGAACAACGAAAAAAAAAAAAGAAAAAAAGAAAAACTATTGTGAATAATTGAAATGTCATCTTATCAATATTGATGAAGAAAAAGGCTACATAATGTCGGCGCTGTCATCAACTGTCCAAACTAAAATTATATTGTCTACAATCAACCTTATCTTGTTCTCTTTGTATATCAAGACAATTACTCATTGTCATCATACTCATCAATCACCAAACTAGCATTTATTCTTTTTTATCAAAATAGACAAAAAAAAACGAAAAAGAAAAAATCTATTCAACACAAAAAGTCCGTAAAAGATCTTCATTTGTTTCTCGTCTTCTTAATACTTTGATTTGTTCATGTTCATCTAATGTATATTCAGCTGGTCGTGGTCTCATATTATAATTCGAACTCATACATGAACAATAAGCACCAACATCAAAAATAGCAATAAAATCTCCACGTTTTAATGTATTTGGTAAATAACGTTGTTTACCAAGAAAATCTCCACTTTCACATACAGGTCCAACTATATCAAATGGTATACGTTCATCTGTAGATAAAGAATTAATTGTATCAATATGATGATATGCTTGATAAAGAGCTGGACGTATACATTCAGTCATAGATGCATCAACAACAAGTTGTCGTATAGAACCAGTAGATTTTTGTCCAAGTACACGTGTTATAAGTATACATGAATTTGCAATTAAACTTCGTCCAGGTTCAACAATTAATTCAATTGTATGAGGTAACAATTGTAATGGTTCTTTTATTGATTGAATATAATCTTCTATTGTTGGAATATTTATATCATTATTATTATCATTTTTTGTACGTTTAGCATAACGTTTATAATCAATATTTAAACCTCCACCTATATTAAGTATACGTAGATGAGGAAAACGTTTATTATTAAATAATATTATTAATTTTTTAACACATTCAGTAATAATTTGTGTATTTGATATAGTTGAACCTAAATGACAATGAAAACCAAATAAACGTATCCATTTATCATGATTTTCTTCAATTAATTTATAAATTGGTTCTAATTCATCAATATTTATACCAAATTTACTTGTTTTAGATGCTGTTGTATTATATGCATGTACATTTGTATCACTAAGATTTGGATTAACTCGTATAAGTACATTAGCTATTTTATTTAATTGTTTTGCATATTGAAGTATTATTTCAAGATCAAATAAACTATCAACATTAAGTAAAACACCCGAATCAATAGCCATTTGAATACTTTCATCAGTTTTTCCATTTCCATTATAGATAATAGATGATGGCTAAGAAATGAATTTAATGATATAACAAAAAAATATATATTCATTTATTGTTTTTTGTATAACTTACTTCAAAACCATTTGATAATGCTAATTGCATTTCACCACCACTAACTGTTGTTAACATAGTTTTTGCAGATTTTAATATTGGTAATAAATATGGATTATAATTAGCTTTCATTGAATATGATAAACGAGTACGAATAGGTGCAAGTTTATTTAATGCTTGTTGATATGTATTAATATTATGACGAAATTGATTAAGACTATAGAGTATAAATGGTGTAGATGGTGATGATAAACGTTCAATAAATTGTTTAATAGATGTTTGATCAATAAATAATGGTTCATCATGACCTTCTTTATAATAAAATCCATATTTAGTCGTCATTTTTACGTGTACAAATATTCTCTTATCTTTCGTTTTTGTTTCTATTCAGTTTTATCTTAAGAAAAATTAACAAAAGAAAAAAAAAAAAAAATTATTCTTATCTAAATATCATAAGCCTTTAGCTAAAGAAAACGAATTGAAATTTCAAGGATAAATTAAAACAATATTCTACACCTTACAGAAACAATAGTTGATATTTAATCAACTTTTGATTTCATTTAGTTTCTATTGTATATGAAATAATAAAGAGAAAAAAAAAAGAACCTAATAAGGTTTCTAATCTTTTTTTTCTTCTTATTTTGTCAATATTAGTTTACGACATTTATGCACTTAATATAAAATATGCGCGACTATCAACTAAAATGCAAATTTTTGGCATCATTTATTCCACTTGCTTAGAAATCGTACTTAGTACTGATACTTCTTACGCATTTACTTCATATAGAAAGCCAAATTATGCGTCTATTTTATGAGAAACAATATTTTATATATCAATGATAGAAAATGAATGAAAGATAGATTACGGCTTGTCCAAATGTAATGCTATAATATTTTTGACACACTTTTTTTGCATTATCTCTGAAACTATGAAAGCTAGAAAGTTCGTTCAAACGCGATTTGATGCAGCTTGTCAAACTCTATTTATACCATAAAAATGACTTTTTTCAGTAAAAGTCTCGAGCTTTAAGAAAAGGTTTTTGGTCGCGTAACGCTTTGACATAAAAAGACTCTTTTTCTTCAGAGCCACTAATAAAACTGCAATTTCTTGTGAAAATATTTCTTCAAATGAAACACTTCTAGAGCCAGTTTTGTAGAGCTTTGAACGGGCATTTAAACGCTAAAAAAAAGTTTTCTCTAAACTATTTTTGCTTAGATAAAAAATGCAAAAAATAAATGTGACACTGTGACACAGTTTTTTGTCGACCAACTTTGAGACACTTAACATAGTCAGAACGATTTGATTTTTATAAGTGTTACTCTTTTCTGTATAACAAATCGTTCTATGCAGAAACGAGATCGATACATCGACATGGAAGCTCACAAGTGACGCAGTAAGTTGAAAACTGTATAAGAGTCTACAAATTGTCCTTAGCCACGAAAGTCAAAACTAAGTAGGCCATTTTAGACAGAATGAAATTTTGCATCGAATGGTATGTTCCTCGGCTTTTTTTGGAAGAATTTCTTGGTTAGAAAATTCAAAATACGATTTTTGAAAAGTTTAAAATCCGGTTTTCAATGCTAAAATCTAATTTTTGTATAAAATAAATGTCAAATTCGTAATCAGCGTTAAAAGCTGCATCTAGTAACTCATTCAGATTTATTCAACTCGAAAAAAAAAAATTTTTCGAAACTTGATCAGCGAAGTGTCACGTTACGTAGACAAGCCGATTACTGATTTAAGATATATATTAAATATCAAAGCCAATGAATTTACATTGTGTTAAATATATATGAATAAAATTCTCGATGTTCACATTCTCGTTAATTCAATTTACTAATTTTATTATTAATTTAAAACAAAAATAAATAAAAATAAATGTGGAAACCTCGGATTTGAATCCGAGAGTTATGTGTACTTCAAAAAGTGAATGAGACAAATCGGTCATCCTAGAATGTGCGGATATAAAAATTAGCCTGGCAAATCCTTTCTATAAACATTTGAATTCTATTGGCTACTACTCAACCAATACGATTTCGGAGTGAACACAGCTCAGATTTGGACTCTTCGCCTTGAGTTATCTTAAAAAACTCGTTTTTCCTATTATTTGGTTTCTATTGGTCAGTGCTCAACCAATGGGGCTTCGAGTGAAGTGGATTACAGATTCGAGTTCTTCATCCTAGAAAACCTCGAAGTATTATCTCTGTGATTGGAAGATAGAGCTCGAATTGTGGATCGATTAGAGCGCAGACAAAAATAGAACCGATTTCCGTTTGTTTATCTCTGCAATAGGTGAGCTAGCTTTCTTGTTTCTTTATGTTTTACATACCATTTTGTAGCTCGTGAAATTCTCTATCGAATGGTATATAATAGTTGGGGGTTTATATGACTATGATAGGAAAACTTTTTTATGAAAGCAGAGAAGGGTCTATCTTCTCATAGGGAAAAATGACTATTTTTGCAATAACTCAGCAATGGCTCGGCCAATCATTCTCATCTTCGAACTCGACCGAGATATTGTAAAGACTAAACTGTGTAGAAAATTTCATCGCGATCGGACTCTCCTTTCAAAAGTTATCGTGTTAACGGCCGGCCGGACGGATACACTGACCGATTCTAGAGTGTACTCACTTTTTTTAGTACACAAAAAGAAAACAATTCCTACAACAATAACTAACAAATGGCACATAAAGAATAGTACACTTCCTTTTTTTTGAGTAGTGCAAACAATAATTCAAAGGTTTTGTTTTGATAATATTCGATAGAGAATTTTCCATTCTATAAGCTGCAGCGATTTATGGATTTGTGTCAGTCTAAGGTTTCAATGATAACATTAGAGCATTTATTATCCAATGGTAAAGAATTTCTTTTTACTCTATATTTCCATTATGCCTTCAAGATTCGGAGAGTCTCAATCCAGTTTTTTCGAACTCTTTCAAAATCTAGAGTTCTACCAAAAAACTGAGTCCCTATTGAGTCACGATCGATTTTCCTAAAAGACTTCATGTTTATGAAAAAATTTGTAGTCGACAAAAATCGATAGCTCTCAATAGAAACTTTTTTGTAAGTGGTATTTAATCTTTTGAATATTTCACTTGTCAAAAAAAACTCTATCAAATTGTATAAAAACAAAAT